TAAGATGAGGCAACTGAAGCAGAAAGTCAGCATGCAATACCCAAGGTCACACCGGCAGGGAGTCTGGGATGGCAGCCAGGTCACTTGGAGCCCCTTGGGTAGTGGCTGGGCCAGGGCCCGGGAGGCCATGTCGCGACTAGAACACAGACCTGCCTTCCTGGTTGCCTGGACCATGGAGCCTGTGGGGCTTCCCGGCGTGGTGCTCTCAGCCGTGGGCCCTTCCTGGCTGTCTGGGGGTTGAGCATCTCCACACCGCAGTCCTTACAAGGACCCTCTCAAGGGAGACTTTCTGGCCCACAGTCTGAGAACAGGGCCTTCGCCTGGTGAGGGTTGTAGGGGAAGGACAGGATTGGGGGTAGGGTGGAAGGAGCAAAAGAGGAGACCCTCGCCACAAGGGGAGCAGATGTCGGAGAAGCAGAGGCACCTGCTCCCTCGAGACTTCCAGAGAGGGCATCTCTGACACCCCATGACTGAGCCCATCCAGGCTGACTCTTTCCTGAGTTTGCCCATCTAGGGCTGACCCCGTCCAGGGCTAACCCCCTCCAGGGCTGATCCCCCACCCCGAGTTTGCCTCTCCTTCTCCTTGCAGCTGAAATACCCCAGGCCCCTTAAGGAGCTGTTCATTCCCTAAATTCGATATTCAACATGCCACCTCAGAAGCCAACTCGGAAGCCAACTCAGAAGCCAACTCGGAAGCCAACTTGGAAGCCACGCCTAAACAGTGAAATATCCGGACTGGGGCTGCTCCTTCTTGCTTCAAACTACAGATCACTGTTGCAGGAACTAATTTTTCTGTTGAAGTCATTGCCCTGCAGTAGCAAGAGAGGGCATCTCATTCTTGCAGTAGCAAGAAATGTAAAGTATGGGAGAGTGTCCTCTGACAAAGCTATTTAGGAGTTTGCCTGTAAAGTAACTTCAGTGAGCGCAAAGGCCTTAAAATAATAATTCTGAAAATTTAGTGTATAAATTATATTTGATTTTAGTTTAATTTAAATATATATACACATTATGTATACGCACTCTTATATTAGTTTCTTTTTGGTAGTGTAGCAATTACCACAAACTTAGTGGCCTCCATCTAGGGCCCTGGCCCCCACTCCTCAGCTCCCCTCCTCCTTGGCCCTGGCCCTGGCCTCCCCTCAGTATGGAGTTAGCAGTACTGTCTTTCAGTCTCTGCAACCACAGCAGTGCTCTGCCCTCCTCATGCCTGTCACCCCATCTCTGAATCTGACTCCCCTCTCCTTTAAGCACCTTATGATTATTTCAGAAATACCCAGATTAGCCACAGTAATCTTCCCATCTCAATATCTTTAATCACATGTATCGAGCCCCTGGGCCATACGGGGGCCACAGTCATAAAGGACTAGTGGGGTCTGCTAACTGTAGCATGCAGGAGCCTACAAGCACCTTTCAAGTCCAACACAAACAGGACTCCCATCACCCCGGGACAATGGGCTGCATCAGTGGATGTGACAGGGACCACTGCAGGTGGGGTGTTGACTGATCTACTTTGCACCCCAGAGACTGATCAGTGGAACGAACGTCCCGTTCGTGGGGGGGTAGGGGTGGGGGAAAGATTGTGACTTTCCTGATCCGTGGACTCGCCCTCCCTAAAGCCCTAAATGACAACATCATATTTCCAGTCTGACCCGCCATTTTCTCTTTGTTCCCCTATCAATGAAAGGCCAGGACCTCACTCTTTAGACGCATCCTGTACCCCACAACCTGCTCCACCATCCCCGTTTCTGTTCTTTATCTGGGCAGTGCTGCTAGTGTAACACACTAGGCCGGGAGCACCTAGAATCACCGTCTCCAGCCTGCGCCATCTCATGCAGTCAGGCGCTCCCGCCCATGGACCCAAGAACTCTGACCAGCAGCTCTGTCCTGAGCTCTGTCACGTCACCGCACCTCCCGAGGTGTCTAAAACCTGAGGCAGGTTTTACTTGCTGCAGGACCTTCAGTCCGATACATTTGGTATTATCCTTGGCATTTTCAGCATTAGAAAGAAAAATCCTTTCAAGTTTCTAATCTAATATTTCAATTTCTGTGCATTTTTTTAAAGATTTATCTTATTTATTGATGCATACAAAAACTGGGGTGCGGACTGGAGGGGCACGGTGAGAGGATTCACCAGAGACAGAATGGGGAGCAGAACAGGCAGATCCACTAAAATCCACTGCTGAGGGGAGCAGCAGGGAGACAGAAGAGGTCACTCTGTGTTTTAACAAGAACCACTGGTTTCGACCCCTTTTTACAGGCCCAGAAGCTCCTTTTTCCTTCATCTTCTCGACAGAGCCAAGGGTGCTGAGGCCTGTGCAGATGGCGTGCCAGCCATGCCTCCTTGAGGACAATCTGGCCTCCTGGCCCTGCAGTGTGAGAAGCCTGACAAACCAAACCCTCAGACTTCCTATTTGACTGCAGAACATGGAAGCTGGTTCCTGAACCTGCGGAGGAGCTGAAGTTGAAACCATTTGAGGTTCATTCAAGCCAGTCTCCAGAGGGGACCGGAGGTGTGGCCGCTGTCGCTTTGTGGTTTCCTCAGTCACACCACCACCAACCCCGTAACCCGCCCTGGGAATCTGAAGCAGCTGGGTTGTCTGGACCACGAGCGGGGAGTAGCTACAGGCGTTTTGGTGGAGGCTCAAGGATGCTTCCATGACAAATGGCCGCTCTTGCTGGCACATTGTGGAGAAGAAGATGGCCTTCCCATGTCTCCTCAGCCACAGCGACGGCCATCACCCTGGCCCCAGTTTCTCTAGATATCCACTGATTTTAGCATAAAAGGGTATTCAAGTACTTCAGTAGCAGTTGATACTCAGTCAATACTATTAAGGTGCAAGTGGTGACTGAGGGGAAACTCCTTTGTAAAGTCATGCTGATCAGTAAGGCTGGAATACAACAAGGGCCCAGAATTCTTTAAAATACTGTTATTTATCTCCCACATGTAATTTGAAAGAAAAAGGCCACCAAAGCTTGAGAAAGTCTGACTTAGGTAAGAACGTTCTGACCTTCATCAGGTGACTATTTTGATTGTTTATAAATATCAAATGCTTTAAGATTCAGGTTCCCTATTTCTTTTCTATCGCTACTGCTTGATGAAAATGACAAAGAACTCTCTTAAATTCACCTATGAAGCAGGTTGCTGACGTGAGGGGGTAGGAAGAGCAACTTGCAGAGCCCCAGGCCAATTCTGCCTCTGTCCCTGAGTCACTAAGTGACTTTGGCTAGGGAGCTTGGCATCTGTTTGTAAAGCGGGAATAATGGGGAATATCTCGGGGTTCGCAAGGATAAAGTGTGTGCCTGGGATGTAATTGGAGTTTAGTGTATTTTAGCTGTTCATAGTATTACTGCTCTGCTTCCACTCCCACCAAGCCCTCCGTATCCACCCAACACCTGTTTCTGTTTTTAATTTTATTTAATTTTGCAAAGAGCTGGGGTGTAGCCCAGAGATGTGGGCAGTAAAAAGGTTCACCAAAGACACAGTGGGGAGAACAGGCGGATCCACTGAAATACACTCCTGAGGAGAGCAATGGGGAGACAGGAGAGGTCTGCTGCACCATGTGGGTCAGCTCCCTGGCCGGGGATCAAGCTCAGGCTGCAGTGGTGACAGCCTGAGACTCAACCCCCAGGCCCTCAGCAAGGACCCCACCCAACACCTTTGGTGCGTCCAGTGGGCTAGTCCCTGTGCTGGACCTGGGTATGGCAATCGATAATGGCTCTGACCTCACTGCTTATGCTCTCGAAGGAAGACAGGTTTGTAAATGAGCAAAAATGGTCAATACTGAAGGTTCAGAAATGTCTACAATGTTTCCTTAAAAGCAGTGCTGTCGCCACCTTTGAGTATTTTCATCTAATTCAAAGGCAACAGCTCTCCTCCAGATGTGCATAGCACAAGAGATCAAGTTTTGGGGAATGTTGGCAAATGCTTCTTGAATGACCAGATTACCCAAGAATTCGTTTCTGGGAAGACTCCTCTAGACAAGAGAAGTTGGCCAACAGCAATTGTTAAGCTATCACGATGGTGCATTCTGATTTCAGAACCACTGAAGTATGAAAAAGGATGCATGGAGGCAGCTGAAATGTGGTGCACGTAGGTGTGGGCACTTCTCACCTCCTGTGGTCTCCTCTCCTTGCCCTCCATCCTCTGCGCTGCCCAGTGTCCCCTTCCTCTCAACCCCGCAACTTTAACCTACATGAATACTTCCCAAAGACTTTTTTAAAGATTTATTTTTGCATAGAAGAACTGGGGTACAGGCCAGAGGTACGGGGGTGGGGAGTAAGAGGATTTAGCAGAGATAAGAGTGGGGAACAGAACAGGCGGATCTACTGAAATCCACTGCTGAGGGGAACAGCGGGCAAGAGAGGAGAGGTCTGCTGCACCATGTGGGTTGCCATGTGGCTGGGGATTGAACTCAGGCCATAGCAGTGATAGCCTGAGACTCAACCCCTAGGCCACCAGGGAGGACCCCCTTCCCAAAGATTTTTATCTGTAAACTGTTAACTCAATAAACATAAAAGACTTTCATGCCTTCTTTGGAATAGCTATTGTCTATCTCAGTTCTATTAATTATCTATTCCACTCATTGTCAATTGATTTTTCAACTGTTTGTCACCCAGCCAGAAGTTCTTTAGAGAAACTACATTTCTGATAGTCTGGAACTCAACCAAATCAATGAACTAATGCACTCTTGGGTTAGTAGTTCCCAGATGCTTCTGTAACTTTAAAATAATCCTCATAATGACACTTGCAAATACAAACAGCAGGTAAAGGGACGCAGGGCTGCCTGGCACCAGAGTCCACCGGCTTCCTACTTAAACAGAAGCCCCACAGCCCTGGAGCCATCCACTCAGGAGCCCCTGCGGCACTACCCTTTCCATTGCTAAGGCAAACTTTGCCCACATCTGCAGCCCTCACCATCCTGAAGCCATCCTGAAACCCGGACACTCTGGTGCCCGCAACACTTGCTTTGTGCGGGGGCCTGGCGCAACGCAGGCAAGCACAGGGGGCAGGTCGTACGCACAGACAACATTAAAATTAGTTTATTTTGCTACTTAACTTTTAATAAATGAGAAGAAACACAGTAGTCTGTCTCATAAAGAACATTTATAATACATAACAATCCGTAAAGCCTCATGGTGAGGTAGGAACAGCTTTGGAAAACACAGTACAGTCATCAAACGTACAAAAAGTTAGGTAAAATGTTGCAGCACTAGACGATTTACCTGCATCTGCATTTCATGAGATGATAACTGCATGGAACGCGCCACAGCTGGCTGGGTAGGCAGGCGCTGCAGGCACCCGGCAACATGAGAGGGAGCTTCGTAGGGTCCCAGGGCCCAGTGCTATACCACACTGTGCTGTTGAGGCAGAACCACACAGGGCAACTTGTGTCTTGCATATAACACGGGTTACTTGTATGTTACATGCCCTTCAGCATCTCTTCACCAAAGACGCTGGACCATACAATTTTTGGTTTAAAAGTTTAAACTGAGTGACATAAAAAAGGTTCTAGTGCCAGTGAAATGACTGCTCCCCCAGAGCTCGCTGGTAACGAGTGCCCCGCCACAGGGCGCCAGCCAGAGCATGGTTACCGTTCCCAGGCCCCATGGCCCAACACTGGATCTCAAGGTTTCAATTTAAAAAACAAAACACAACAAAACCCTCCACCTTCCCAGGAGTTTTAACACTGTTTTATGACTTAACTGAAACGCTTATTAAAATAAATATTTCTATACTGTAGGATTATTCTCCATATATGTGTATGCATGAACATCTTAAGACAGCAGGTAAATGACATTAATATCATTCAAATGTTATCTCCTTATAAACAGTCAAATTATTCAACTCAATGCCAGTGCGCCTACTAGACACTTCACATTTGGTTCCATAGGCCTCTTCCCTTGACTTTTAAAGTTAACTGAGAATGTTAGCAAGATACAAACATGTTAACACGATCTTCTACCTACTGTGACCTTCAGGGTGCTCTTGGTGGAAATTCTTCCTCTCCCAACATAGACCTTAGCTCTCCTATCATGTTGTCTACAGCATGACAACACACACGGCAAAGCTGCCGTGACTTTGATCTATTTTAGGTTCTTGTCCCCACAATGCAGATGCCCCTCCACAAAAACCTAAACAAACAATCACAGAAGTGAAAAGGTGACAATGGAGAATTAAATCTCTCTCATCACTAAGGCTGCATTTGGTTTGGAAAAATTTCTGGGTGGTTTTAATTCAGGCACATGCAGCACCTTCTCACTAAACTGGACGACAAACAAGTTTCTAAACACGTATTCTAAAGACACTGATCTTGCTCAAATATAAAAGAGCCGGTAGGAGCGATGGACCTCCTAAAACTGACGCAGTGTTATAAAACAGCATATTTAAATACTGGGTTTAAGTCTCTTCAGAATTCAGAGTATGTCCCTTACTTTCTCTCAGGAAGGAATAAATGATTTTGGAAAAGATACTTAAATCCCACAATATTTAAATATAAAAGCATTTTAAAAAAGATAATGCTAATATAGCTAATAATGGGTTAGAAAGTGCATTATAAAGAAATAAATAATTCTCTGCTTAAACTCAAAAGGTGAGTCAGTGCCCAGATTTTGCTGTTATGACAAAGTTCTTTGAAAAGAGAATCCTAGGTACCCCTTTGTTACACATCAGCTACTTAAAAGTGGTGCAAAGTGAAATAACTAAAATATAAAGGCTGTTGCCTCGAAGCACTTTTGAAAAAACAATAGCCCTTGTCCCATGCTTATACACCATTTAAAAAAAAATCCTCATTCAGTTGCTGCAAGAAACTGTAAGAAATAGACTTGAGAGCATTTGTAAAGGAAATGCCACTGACTGCAGTATTTTTCCCCAGTTATCCTCATGGATCATCACTGAAATATTTCTACTAACAAACTGTTTAGAGATTTTAAGTAAATGTTTCCATGTTTTGAATGTTAAATCAGGAATGTACATGATACAGTACAATTCAAAGCTTTCTCTCTTTTTCACCCAACCTGTGTGAGATCCCCCAATTTCATGCTTTTTTTTTTGCCGCAAAATTCAAAGTTACTAATAGTGTAAGAATTGAACATCATCAGAGACCAGTATGAAAAGATCAAGATGTGTTGCAAATTGGCAGGTTATGGTTTTGGCCCATTACAGTAATTGTGAACTCACAAACTATGTTCCTCAAGTTACCTCATTCTAATTGGAAAAAGCCGCTGTTCTTAAATAGGCCCATTGCCAGCAACAGGCTCACACTAGAAAAAAACGCCTTCTACCAGAAAAGACCATCCCTTTAATTAAAGTTAAATGTCAAATGCCAATACTTTCATCCGAAACAATGAATTATCACAAATTCCAAAATGTTGCCATCCCAAAAGTAGTCAGCTAGAAAAGTTAGTGAAGTAGTCAGGATACCTTGTTTCTAGAAAAATAGAGCTATACATGATAACTGCTATTATTAACATTCATCTTTTGGAGAACAAAAATCTAGATTTTTCACAAAGCATAACCTCTATTCAAGAAAAATATAACTTAAATACCCTTAAATAATATTCATCCAGGTATTTGAAATCCACAGCAACAATGAAACAGCCAGAAACAATTTCCTGTGTAGATACTGTGGCACCAGGCAAAAACAGCCACAATCAGAAGGTCTGAGCAATGTCGAGACAGGATGACTTATGGACACTTAAATTTTCATGTTGCCTGAACTACTTGTGCTTTCTAAGAACGTTAGCCACATTGCAAGGACTTTCAGCTTGCTTTCTTCTCCCAAGTCATTGGCCCCCAGCTGAGCACACACATGGCTGGCTGGGCTTGGAGGGCTTGGCTGGGATCCATATGGGGACGCCATGAACCCACTTAAGCTCTGAAGTTTGTGGAAACTCCCACAATTTGAAATATGACTTGTGATCGTTAGATTAAGTGTAATGTCCTTAAAGATACTGAGCACAGGTGTCTTGTGAGATGACTTTCAGCTCAACGTTTCCAATGCCACTTTCAAAGCAAAGCAGCGCTGGCGAGCCAAGTCCAGGTTTTAGACTAACTTTGGTAAAAGAAAACGTGAGTGCAAATTCTCAGACAATTTAGAAACATAGCCTGAACATTATTTTACAATAATCTAAATATCAATTTGGCAGGCTCCCTTCCCTGCTCTTATGTGTAAACTGGAGCTCAATTTGTTAATTATCTCAGAATAATACTCAGCAATACAGAATATAGGATAATAACTGATCTTCAGTATTATAAATACCCTGGGTGAAGAAAAAGAAACGTTTCCTAATAATATCCATGAGTCACTCTTAAAATATGCTGCCTTTATGCAAACTAATGACCTCACAGGGCAAGTAAATATCACCTAACATGTAAAAGGAAACAAACTCGATTTTTAAAGTTCTAGCAATTACAAGCCTAATAAACAAAATTTAACAAAGGGGGGAAAGAAAAGCAGAGCAATTCCAGTAACAATTTTATTTACCCCCTAATTAATTTTTTACCATGGAAAAACTGGAAATCAAATGTCATTATGTTATATAAGTTTATACTTACTTAAACAAAAATGTAACATAGTGTCAAAACTGGCTTTCCAAAATTGTTACAGCGGAGCTGTACTCTCCACTCATAAAGTTGTACTATAGACCTCTGTGAGCAGTCCCATCCTGTTCTTACAAAAATAGAATTAAGCTGTTTGACCAGCGAGGACTTCTATGACATTACTTGGCAAACTTAGAATTTCAATGGAGTCTTTTCCCTCTTGCGGTTAAAAGCACAAGTCAAGGATCACCTCCTTGTCAAGACTCACAAAGAAGATTCAGGTTGGTTGGTTGGCATTTTTTTAATCTCGATCAGCACAGCAGGGATGTTGTCCACCTTAGTCCTCCTGGGCTTCTTCTCGAGATTGTCACTACGTTCTAAGCAAGAGATGCTCATTGCCCGGGCCTTTTCCACGTCCTTCTCCAAAGAGGCCTGCGGCAGCGTCCCACAACACTGCTTCAGAGCACACTGGGTCCTGCAGGCAAGCTCACAGGGGAGGACGCCTGTCTCGGAGCCGACACTGGCGAATTCAGGCTGAATGGTGGTGGCGTGGATCCCGTGATTATGGAAAACGTCTTTAATGGTCTTGGCCACCTGCATGTATGATGTCGGGTCTTCACATTTGATGTGAGCCGTGGCAATAATTCTGCTCCCAGCAAGTTGCCAAACATGTAATTCATGAACTTCATCAACTCCTTGAACATCTCTAAGTTCTTTTATCAAATGTTTGATGTCGATTTGTTTAGGAACGGTTTGTAGAAGAATAAGAGCAGATTCCTTAAGCAGTGGGTAAGTCGTGTAAAGCAGTATACAGACCATCACAATACAAAGAGTGGGATCTAAATATAGCACCCAGCAAGGACCAGCCTCATGAACTGTCGCCTGAGTACTATTCACCATTTCTACAAAGGCTTTGCAGGGGTCGGGAGTACACGGATTCACACAGAACTCCCCTTCAGGGCAACCTTTCCAAGAAAAGTAAAAGACCAAGGCATTTACTACTACAATCACTGAACCCAAAGCATCTCCAAAGACATGCAGAAAAACTCCACGCATGTTCAGCTGTGCAGTCTTGTCGCCGTCTTCCAATTCCACATGGTCAGGTTCTCTGAGAAGATTCCCATTCACTTGCACTTCCACCGTCTCGCTTCTGGACTTTTCTGGATCTACAAAGAAATAAAAATCGTGTGTCAAATACATTGGAAGTATTTATATAAACATTCTCGCCTAATACCATGGGAATGAAGAAGGTGAAAGCTTCGTGAAACAATATGAAAACAACACACTCTGGACAACAGACTAGAAGGTGACAGGTCGGGAACCAGCCAGGACACAAGGGCCAAAAGAAAACACAAAATTGAATGGCACCAGCCCAAAGGAGAGACAACCGTGCATGGATGTGTCTAATACAAATGCCTGATGGGCACAGAGACCCCAGCCACTGTCACTAGGGCGCTGGGGTCAACTTCAACTTCTATCATGAAAAAAACAAAAACAAGCCTCCTGGTGCAGAGTTCAGAAACTGACCTATCAATGTGCACCTGTCCACCACCAGAGATGTCAGGAATCCTTGGAATTAAGCGATCGCTCCTACCTCCTACCACCTCTTACCCCAAACCTACTGATCTTCTAAAGGAATTAGGCACAGCATCTTCATTTTCTTCCTAACAACATGCTGCCCTGTAGGAGTGAGAGGAAAGGTAATGGGCCATTAAACCTGTTCGCGATGTCCTAAGAATTTGGAAAAGGTGCCACCCTGCACCTTGCAAGAAGGAAGGCGGTTGGTGTTCGACAGCACAGCGGGTCCAGTGAACCTCCAAGGGAAGGAAGCTGTAGCGGCAGGAAGGCCATAGGCAGGATCTATGACCGGAGCACCGGAGCAGAGGGGGTAAGGATCCTGGAGCCCTCAGTGGCTTTTTCCAGGCTTTTACTGGGATTTACCAGGTACATGGCAGGCAGGGGTGCGGGGGGCTGGGAGGCTGGCAGGCCTCCCAGTCCCCCACGAGTCTTTACTCTTCCTGGGCCCTAAGGCGTTCTTTCGTGGCTTCTCCTTGTGCTCTGTTGTTCCACTGGTGTCCCCGTGATGCCGCCCTTATAAGCCCAGTCTTAGCCCAGGTGAACCCATCTATACATGCCCACACACTACTCCAGGTACCCGCCAGCAGGCATGCATTCAGGATCACAGGGATCCACCATCAATCCTAATGGCAGGAGGGCAGAAAAGCCTGACAATCATTAACCCTACAATCCACCCCCTCAGAGTTTTCTGCCATTCAGTCTGTATCAGTCTACAAGTTATATACACGTTTCTCTTGGCAATATGAACACTGCAGCAATGGTCCATAAAAGTAAATAGAATACATCACAATAAAACATTATAACAAAATACAACAGAATACAAACAAGTCCAGGCAGGGCACCAACCTAGTGGCAAAAGAGATTATTGACACCAGCAGACAATCCACTACTACTGCTGCCGAAGGCGCTGCTCATGCAAGGGGGGAACCACTCAAGTATCTGCCCTCACACGCCAGGAGCCATCAGGCTTCCTCTCCTTCTCTGGCTGTGGTCTCCGCCACAAGCGCCACACCGCATTCACCCCAAGATACACTCACTCTTGAATTGGTGATTCCGTCTTTGGCGGTAATCGCCCAATCCTCAGGGTTTTATGTCTGCGGTAACTCCCAACACTCGGCTTTCATAGTGCAGGGACACGCAGATCCCTGCACTCAGACAACCCATTGCACAAGCACATGGGTCGGAGATCCGTGGATACAAGCTCCACATGCGGCCTCTCTTGGGTCTCCTCTTTGCCTATGGGCTCCGCCACAAGCCACGTTCCCCACTTGTCCCCCAAGGATGGGCTCCTCAGCACCTCACCCTTTCTCGACAATGAACATCACCCACGGGAGATTAAAGAGACTCTTGGCCTTCTTTAGCATATTTAGGTTGCTTAACAGGAGCTCAGGGCTTCCCAATCTCAGCACCAGCTTTTGCCTTTCTAAGTTGGCTTTTTTGGTACATCTCCTCTGCCTGGCTGCAGAGAGCTTGGCGAGGCCTTCCTCCCTCCCTCAGCCAACAGTGGGCTCTTCTCATGCCTTAATTTTCATCTCCCGGGGTTTACAAACAGTACCATCCACCTCCGGGGTCCCATAGTCCCACCAAAGTTCCTCCGCTTTCTGGTGAGATTGTCAGTCCAAGTCCATCCATTGGCTTTTTTCCATGTGTCAGCACTGGGGAAGCTCAGAATCATGGTCCTTTCTTACTCAATGATTCTGCTACCACGGGCTGGTCCTCGCAGGCTGTCTCCTCCTCCAGGCGAGGTGTCGTGCAGTGGCTCCAGGACCTTGTCCACCTCCTGTGCTGCCGTGGTGCCACCAGCACTGTCACAGGCTCACGGTCTGCTACTCCTCAGTCCCTCCAGAGGTCTTTGGAGAGCTACATACCAGTCTGCTTCAAATCATTCTGCCAACTTAAGCCAATTGTAGCGGCAGGAAAGCACATTGCAGGTTTTCTATGATTCTCTGCAGACAGGTGGAGAAGAGTCCTGGAGCCCTCTGTGGCATTTTCGAAGCTTTTATTGGGATTTACCAGATACCTATCAGGCAGGGGGGTGGTGGACCAGCCTCCCAGCCCCCTAGGAGTCCTTACTCTTCCTGGGCTCTACAGCATTCTTTCATGGCTTCTCCTTCTCTGCTCTTTGTATTCTGTTGTTCCGATGGTGTCCCCAGTGACGCTGCCCTTACAAGTCCAGTCTTAGCCCAGGTGAATCCATCTACACATGCCCACACCCTACTCCAGGTGCCCGCTAGCAAGCAGGCATTCAGGACCGCGGGGATCCTGATGGTGGATCAATCCTAATGGTGGGAGGGCAAAAAAGCCTGACAACTATTTAACCTACAGAAGCCCAGCGGGGCAACAGGCTCCCTCTTCCAGCTCCTTCCTTTCAACATTTCCTCCCCCAGTTCCAACGAGGGCACTTGGCACCCACCGAAAACGCGCGGGGACCTAACTAACGCCCTTCCCACTTGTTTCCGGCGGGCTCAGAGACGTCCCAAGAGGACGGGAAATGCCCAGTCCTGGGTCCGGGATTGCCAGGACCAGCTCGGAGGTGGCGACGCGGGGGACACCCCCGCGGAGGGGCGGAGACCATGCCCGGTGCGCGGAGGCAGCACCAGCGGCTGATCTCTGGCCCCTCGCTTAGGGGTCAGCGCGACCCGGGACAGCGCGGGCGGGGGCCGCGGGCGGGACTCTGCGGGGCAGGAGACACCCGGCCAGGTCACCGGGGGCGGGGGGCGCGCAGGGGGCGCGCAGGGGGCGCCCGCTCACCTGAGGGCTCGGCCTTCAGCCCGTTGGCGCGGCGGCCGTCGGGCACCAGCGTGTTGGTCTCCTCCGGGTCGGGGTCGGGCCGGCCCGGCGGCCCCGCGGCGTGGCCGTCGGACGCGCGGGGTCCGGGGGCGCCGTGGCCGTGGCCGTGGCCGCCGAAGCCGCTGTGGTGGTGGAAGAGGCACAGCCCCAACACGTTGACCAGCAGCCCGGCCAGGCCGACGCCCAGCACCACGAGCGGCTGCTGCATCTCGTGCGGCTCGAGGAAGCGCTCGACGGCCTCGAGGAGGATGGCGAAGCAGAGCCCGGTGAGGAAGATGGCGTTCACCAGCGCGCCCATCACCTCGGCGCGGATCCAGCCGAACGTGTTCTTCTGCGTGGAGCGCGTCCGCCGGGCGAAGCGCTCGGCCACCAGCGCCACCAGCAGCGCCAGCACGTCCGACAGCATGTGGAACGAGTCGGACAGCATGGCGAGCGACGCGGTCACCCGGCTCACCACCACCTCGAGCACCATGAACAGGAAGGTCAGCAGCAGCATGCACAGCAGGCGGCCGCGGTTGCGCCCCCAGCACCCCATGGCGGCGGCGGACGGGCCGAGCGCGGCGCCCGGTCCCGCGGCTCCTCAGCGGCGGCGCCTCCCGGCCGGCGGCGGCGTCTCCTCAGCCGCGGCTCCTCAGGCGGCGCGCCGGCGCCCGCTCGGCCCCAGAGGCCCGGGCCCCGCGGCGGGGAGGCGGCGGCGGCGGCGGGGCGCCGCGGCTCCGGGGGCGCCCGGGGCTCGGTGGGCCGGGGCGGCGCGGGCGGGCGGCGGGCGGCTCCGCGCGGCGGAGGCTCCGCGCATCTGCGGCTCCGGCTGCGGCTCCCGGGCTCTCGGCGGGCCCGGCCCGAGCGGCCGACGGCGGGCGAATCTGGCGCGGCGGCCGCGGCGGCTGCACTCGGCCCGGTCTCGGCGCCTTCCTCGCCCCCCCGCCTTTGCAGACGGTTTACAAAAAAACTTTGCTTTGCACTCGGAACCCCCCTTTTCACACGGACCCGAGCGTGACAAGGCCCCGAAGCCCCGCCCCCGGGGCCCGCTCTGCCTCCCCATTGGTCGGGCCGCCCTCACGACAGTCGCGGCGCCCCGCCTACCCGCGCTCGCTATTGGAGGGCGGCGCGGCGGGGCGGGCAGGGGCGGGGTCTTCCCGCCGCGAGCCGGGCGTGGGCCGGGGGCCGCGGCCGGGTGCAGCGGCGGCAGCGCGGGGGAGGGTCGGGGGCGCGGGCCGCGTGCAGCGGGGGGGGGGTGGGGCGGGGCGGCGGGGCGGGGCCGGGGGGGGCGGCCCGCGCCCCTGGCGCACCTGCGGGGCCGCCTGGCGCACGTGGGCCGGTGTGACGGCGGGGGCGGGGGTCCCCGGGAGCGGGCGCCCAGTCGGGACCGGGGTCGGGCTGCGGAGCCGCCAGCCGGCTGCCCGTAACTTGGGACTCGGGCCCTCGCGGCCTGGGGAGGGCGTCCGCACACCCCGTGAGGGTGTGCGTGCAGCAGGTCACCCCCGTCACCGTCAAGTCAGAGATCTGGGCCGCCAGGCGTCTGGGGACTATTTAGGGTCCAGACCGCGCGAGCCGAGCAGCCCGATCTGCTCTGGCTTTGTCGCTACTTGCCACTGCGTGGCTCTGGGCAAGTCGCCTCGTCCCTGACACCGGTTTCCTCCCTGTTAAGGGAAGATGAGACGAGAGGACCTCATTCCCTGGATTCCTCCTGACACTGACATTCTAGGGCTCTGTGATTTCACAAACATTTTATTTATAGACCACAAACTGCGGTCCCGTGCTGGTTGCCATGGGGAAGGGGAGGGGCGGGAGGCTGCATGAGAATGAGCTTCTGTCCAGGTGACCCCAGACCCAGTCAAGGTGGTCAATCACAATGGAATAGTCTGGATCAGTGGGACTAGCGCTGCTTCGTGGAGTGTCTGCTCCTGAGTTGGGGTGTCCGTGCCCTGCTCTGAGTGGCGATCCCTAAACCTGGAATGGAAGGCTTCCCGATCCCAGGGTGGAAGGGCGGCAGTCACACAGTGGTCTGAGTGGGGGCCCCAAAGGCCTCAGGACAGCCCCTGAGCTGAGGAAGGACCCCCACTTATCTGGGTTGTTTGAGACAAAGGCAACAGGAACCAGTGCCTGGGGCCATGGAAGGCTTGCTGGGAGCTATGTTATTTTACCCTTCTTGGTGGGGGGGGGGAGAATATTTGTATTATTTCTATATTTTTTTTTCACTTGTACATGGCATGTTTCTCATCTCCCAATCCTGAGTAGAGCCGAATTGGCTGTTCAGTTTCCCTGGAATAGAAAAGCCTGGAGGAGAGTTTCCAAGACGTTATAAAGGAAAACTTGAGAGGATTTGATGATTGCATTATCTGAGGGTAGAAGCTAAGGAGAATTTTGCGAACATAGCCCCAATACTTCTAACATGACAAGGGAAAACTGCTTTAAAATGTTGAGAAGAGGGTGGAGGTGGGGTGGGAGGTGGAGTGGCAAGGAGCTGATTTCAACTCCACAGTCTTTTTACTTGGTAGGGTAAATGGATTTCAGGCTTTTCTGCCCTCCTGCCATTAGGATTGCCCTACCTGATGGGACACCTGCATTTTGTTACATTGTTATATTTGTGTTGTTTACTTCTGTGGGCCATGGCAGCAGTATTGAGATAATTCTCCAAGATAAATAGCACCAGGAGAAAGAGGCAGGAGAGAGAAGGGGAGAAAGAAGCTAGAGAAGCCCAGAAGACTTGCACAGGGCTTCTAGGAGGACTGTTGGCCTCCTAACGCCCCCTCCACCCCCCCACGCCCCCCATCCCACCCGGCACCCCTGCCTGCTGTGTAGCTGATTGCTGCACTACATGTAAAAGCTCAATAAAAGCCTGAGAAAGCCACCGAGGGCTCCAGGACTCCGCTTTTACCCTGCTCTGCTGATCCTGCTCTGCGCCCATTACTGCTGTAAGGGGGAAAGGATGTCCCACGCAAACTCCATACAGGCTTTGTGGATGCCACCACGCCCCCCCCCCATCAAGACACTGGGAACTACAAATCCCATGATCCCCAAAGGGAAATTGCAAGGACCTAAGGGTGGAGTTAAGCAGCCATTTTCTCAGTTTGTAAATAAAACCAGCCATGTTAGCGGGGTCTCGGGCACTCTGCTCATGCTTTTGGCCAAGCAGGTTTGGTGTCGGTGGGCCATTTGGGATTCCAGGTTGGTGGAACGGGTAGGACACATTTAAGAATTTATCTCCCTCTTTCTCTGAGTTGTGCATTTCCTCATTTCCCTTTCCCTTGTGAATAAACCTTTGTTAATCTTTAGTGTGTGCCTGCAGCTTAAGTCCCCTTTAAGCGCACAGGTGAGGACCCATAGTCAGGCAACCTGTTTTATATCAGGGTTGCCCTGTAACAGCTTGCAACAGGGTTGCCCTGTAACGGGTTGTAACCCAACCCGACTGCTCCAATCACAGATATACTGCTCTGTGCCCTTCCTGGCACTACATACATACTTGCTGCCAAGTCCCATGTCTGGGTGGTGGCAGTGCCACTCTGTCACCTCTGTCCTTTGGTATGGACAAGTAATGTTTGTTTTTACCTGAGTTACTATTTTCAAAGAAACTTGGTGTAGTGGCAGGACAGGGACAGAGCACGTTATTTATGATCCCAACAGACCAGATGGGTAAAGGAGAGTCCTGGAGCCCTTGGTGGCTTTTTCCAGGCTTTTATTGGGATCTACAAGGTACATGGCAGGCAGGGGTGTCAGGGGGGCGGGAGGCCATTAGGCCTCCCAGCCCCTGGCAAACCTTCCCTCTTTATTTGGCTCTCTGGCATTCTCTCTCCTTTTCTCTCTCCAGTTCTCTCTCCTGCCTCTGCTTCTCTTGGCTGCTATCTCAATACTACAGCCTTGGCCCACAAAAGTAAACAAGACAATGAAATATAACAATGTAACAAAATGCAGATGCCCCCCATCAAGCAGGACAATCCTAATGGCAGGGCAGAAAAACCTGAAAATCAGTTACCCTACAATCCACCCCCTCAGGGTTTTCTGCCATACAGTGTACATATAAGTTATATACAATTTTCCTTTAACAAATATATACACTGCAGCCATGGCCCACAAAAGAAAATAATGGTGAAACAATACAACAGAACACATATAAGTCCAGGCAGGGCACCAAACTAGTGGCAAAAGATGATTATTGGCACCATCAGATGATCCACCACTTCTGCTGCCAAAGGCACTGTGCACTGGGCCGGGGCCGGGCGGGGTGGGGGGCGGGGGTGGAAACCACAGGCATCTGCTGTCACACACCAGGAGCCGGCAGGCTTCCTAGCCTTCTCTGACTGTGATCTCAGCCACAAGCCACACACAGCATCCATCCCCAGGATGCACTCGCTCTTGGATTGGCAATTCTGTCTTTGGGGGTATTCACCCAATCCTCAGGGTTTTCTGTCTGCGGTCACTCCAACACTTGGCTTTCATAGCCACCAGTGTGACACACAGTCCCTTGCACTCAGGCCAACCCATTGCACGAGCACATGGGTCGGGGATCCATGGATACAAGCTCCACATGTGGCCTCTCTTGGGTCCCCTCTTAGGCTGTAGGCTCCACCAGAAGCCATTTTCCCCACCTGTCCTCCAAGGACAGGTTCCTCACCCTTAATCAACAATGAACAGGGCATCACCCACAGGTGATTTTAAGAGACTCATTGGCCTTCTTTAACATACTTAAGTTGCTTAACAGCCATTCAGGGCTTCCCAATCTCAGCACCAGCTTTTGCCTTTCTAAGTTGGCTTTTTTGATACCTCTCGTCTGCCTGACTGCAGAGAACTTGGTGAGGGCTTCCTCCCTCAGCCTTTTGGGCTCTTCTCATGCCTGCCCCTTTCTCTACTCTGGCCATTGCCTCTCCAGGCTGTGGCCCTAGGATTGCTGGGCAGTACACAGGCTTCTTTTAAACACTGAGGCCCACTGGCCACCCCCAGATTCCCATCTCCTGATGTGTACAAACAATACCATCCTCCCCCAGGGTCCCAAAAACATAACATTACCCTGCCAAAGTTCCTCTGCCTTATGGCGGGATTGTCAATCTAATTCCATCCATTGTTCCTTGTGTTAGCACTGGCGAGCTCCAAATCATGGTCCTTTCTTCCCCCATGATTCTGCTGTCTCAGGGGTCATGGGCTGATCCTTGCAGGCTGTCTCCTCCTCCACTTGAGGTCTCATCCCCTAGCTCCCGGACCTTGTCCACCTCCTGTGCTACTACAGCATCTTTTTTTTTTTTAAGATTTATTTTTTATTTATACAAGAACTGGGATACAGGCCAGATACACAGGAAGGTGAGAGGATTCACCAGAGGCAGAGCAGGGACAGAACAGGCAGACTGAAGAAATACTGCTGAGGGGAGCGGCAGGCGAAACAGGAGAGGTCTGCTTCACCATGTGGACCTTCGCTGGCCGGCTGGGATCAAACCTGCACTGCAGAGGCTTCAGACAGCTTCACAGTGTGGTGCTCAACCTCCTGCACTACCAGAGAGGCCCACTGCAGCATCTTTAGCTCTTCCTGCAGCTCCTGGACTCTGGTCACTACCTGTGCTG